TTGTTGTTGTTGTTGTTGTTGTTGTTGTTGTTGTTGTGTGTTATTGCAGAGGCGGCGGCGGGTAAGGCGGCGGACAGACAGAAAGGTAAAGCAATAGTTGGGCTGAAAGACAGACAAACAGACAGTCAGTTTGAAAGGAGGACAGTCAGACACTTACTTCAGGTGATACTTCTAAGGATTTATAGGTCAGAAATGTGCATTGTTGGTAAATAATAAACCAAGCATGGTTTTATATTATATAGCAGGATTAAATACATTTATGTCCATTCTCTGATCTTTTTCTTTATGTTGTTCAAGAGTTAAATAATCAAGCATCACAATGCACTTTAAAAAAGTTTTGAAGAGACACAGATGCAGATAAAATAGAACAAAGTCAGGCAGACCGACAGACAGACAGAGTCAGAGAGGGGGAGTTGTAGAATAGCTCTGTTAGACAGACAAAAGTTCCCAGCCCCTTCCTGAACTCTGTCTCCGGCACGCTCCCTTACTCCACCCTCTTCTGTCCCCACCGAGTTCAGTTCTTCGAGAAAGCCTGGCCTGAACCAAAAGATTGTCTCAATAGTCTAATTATTCCGTGTTAACGCACATGCAGAAACTAAATCTGAAACACCGGTATTTGTTTGGGTGGACTGAAAGGATGTCGGGCTTTAAAAAGATCTGAACTCCCCCTTTAAGTCCAGATGTTTGATTTCCTCAACCTTCCGAGTTTTTACCTTCACATCCCTGCCAAGCATTCTAGTTTTGGGCGGAGTGACTAAGCCATGTTTTCTTCCTGAAGTGACCTCATCACCTAAAAGCAGTCGATACTTCCTATTTTCCAAAAATGTTTTTTACACAATTTTCTAGCATCCTAAAGACTTTATTTATCTTGTAACAGAAATTCTGTCTTGCGATGTTGCTGAGGTCACCATGGATACTGATTTGCACGGGGTGGCCTGCGTAATGATGAACCTCAGCCTACAGTTATCAGGCTTGTCAGAGTTACCACCCTTGACTTGATGCAAAAAAGAAGTATTAAAGTCCTAGTTTTTTTCCTCATATTCCGTACAAATCCCAGTGCATATGAGACGCCTGATAACTGAGCCTCGGTTAAGAATAATGCCTTGTGCAAAGTTGTTTAACGGCCTCTTGTTCTGCTACAGAAGCACCGGCAGGGAAGAAGGTGGGTAAGGGCGGCGGCAGCAGCAGCATCCAGAGGAGCGTGGAGACGGGCATGGCGGTGGAGTACCCGCGGGGAGGGTCGGCCATGAACCGGCAGGCCAGCAGAGAGTCGACCGATGGCAGCATGAACAGCTACAGCTCTGAGGGGAAGTATGTACGGAGAAGCATAGACCTTCATGTATGACAATTTCCCCCACCCCGCCCATCTCTCCATCCCCTAGAAGCAGAACGAGTGCAGGGGTAGGGGGGTTGTTTAGTTGAATCTAACTGAGGTTCTTGCAAGTTGGAATCTAAGGACTCCATGGCTCTGAAATATCAGTAGCCTAACTGTGCTGTGTGTCGATAACTCCACAGCGCTGTCCGTGGTGCTGAAGTAGCAAACAGATTTGTATTTGCGACTTTTTAACTGATTCCCACCTTTCTGTCAGATTCGTCTTGGATCTGTAATATTCATTAAACTACATTGGTTGGGGGGGGGGGGGGGGGGTAAATGGACAACATTACATAATAGCCCATGGGCAGAATAATGCAACAAAGTACAATGATAAAATAACGTAGATGCCAGATTTCCATTTGGCATACATTGTGTTAATTCATTAGTCCTTCTAGCAGATGTAGGTGGTTTTTCATCGTTCTATTGCATGGCTAAACATGTGTTGGCTGTGATAATGGCTATTCTAATAAATATGTCTTTATTTACTTTTACCGTAAATGTGTCGTCCAGTAGGGTTAGTCTAAAACAGGGGTATTCAATTAAAATTCCAAAAGGTCCAGATTGAGAAAATGTCCTCGGGCAAAGGTCCGGAACATTACAATAATATCTAACTTGCGCTATTTAGTGCCATATACAGTTGTGTGAAAAAGTGTTTGCCCCCTTCCTGATTTCTTATTTTTTTGCATGTTTGTCACACTTAAATGTTTCAGATCATCAAACAAATTTAAATATGAGACAAAGACAACACAAGTAAACACAAAATGCAGTTTTTAAATGAAGGCTTTTATTAAGGGGGAAAAAAAATCCAAACCTACATGGCCCTGTGCGAAAAATTGATTGCCCCCTAAACCTAATAACTGGTTGGGCCACCCTTAGCAGCAACAACTGCAATCAAGCGTTTGCGATAACTGGCAATGAGTCTTTTACAGCGCTGTAGAGGAATTTTGGCCC